TGCACACACACACACAACAAAACACACACACATATACACGCACACACACACACACAGACAGAGACACACTCACTCACCCAGAAGAGCAGGAACACCCAGCCTTGCTCCTTGCAGCGCTTCATGAAAGCTGCCTGAGGTCTACTGCGAGTAATCATCGCCAGGCCGTTTGCGCCACTCGCAATCAAATTCGAGGTCCGTACATCCTGTGGAGTCCTCACGCCCCCTGTCGCCTGAGTCTACGACATTTTCTTTTTAAGCACTAAACGCCATGCCCACGAGTTGAGGCAATGACGCGTGTAGCTGCTTTGCCGAACCAGTCCTCTGCGCGAAGCAACTGAAACAATGCGTCGACTTTCGTTACTGGTGTTCTCGACCACAGAAACTTATAAAGCATGTGACGCATGTGGCGTACCTGACGTCCAGTGAATCAGTATAATCATGTTCGTGCCCAGCTGCCTACCGCCCTGAGGACAAGACTGGAACGGCAACGGGGCTTCTTCTGGCAGCAGACACCTCGGCCTGAGCTACTCGCGCCCTGCATTGATATCTGTCTGTTTGGAAATATGTTAAGATGCCACGCAAATGTGTCTTCACCGAACCTGTCTGCATAGTTTTTTCTTTTGAGGTCTTTCGTGCACGCATGCAAATTCGCATCCACGGCCTCCCAAAATAAACGCCAGTCCTGATGCGGCAATACAATAAAAAAACATCTGCAGATATAACTCACACAACAGAGGCTCCTCGTCTTCCTCCTCCTTCTCCGTCCTGGGGTCTGCAATGGGGTCTGCACATATGCAGGCGATCGATTTGAACAACGAATGGTGCAGGATTGAAAAATATGAGGTTCCGGGCAGGGTTGAGATGCTAGGGTTAGGGTTTAGGGCTTAGGGCTTTGGGGTTTAGGGTTTAGGGTTTCGGGTTTAGGGGCTTTAGGGTTTAGGGTTTACGGGAGACCCCAGAAAGAAACTAGCGCCCCCCCTAGGAGCCCAAAACCCATCACAAACCTTCTGAGACCCCAAAATCCTCAATCTGAAGCGCAAAGTTCGAGACCCCTCAAGTTCATGCCCGACGAGCGCCGCAAGGCCCTCGAAGGTCCAGTCTCTGACCCCCCTCAAAAACCTTTAGGGTTTAGGGTTTAGGCCGAAAATCTGCACCTACACCCCGAACCTCCAGACTCGAAAACCCAACCCTGAACCCCAAAACCAGAAAACCCCAGATGTCTCGACTTCGCTTAAGTACCGTAGCCGGCTCAAGGTTGGTAGGCGTCGGAGACAGGACCGGCGAAAGTCCGAAACGCACCAAAGCCCGACCCAAGCGCCCAAACCCAATCGGAAACCGAACTCCAGAACCTAAACCCACTACCCGGCCAACCCTAGACCCTAGACCCCAAAACCCAAAAACCCAACACAACCCAAAAAGCCCTCTAAAACCTTAAAAACAAAACCCTCTAAAACCCTACAAAAAAGCCCTGTCAATCCAAGCCCGGGCTCCTGGACGGCCGTGGTGGAGTGGAAGGCGTTGGGCCGCAGGCCGCGCGATCCGAGGCCCGAAAAGAAGAGCCTTTTGAGGGTGTGGGGTTCGGGGGGTTCAGGGCTTTAGGGTTTTAGGGTGTGGGGTTTGGGGTTTTCGGGTTAAGGGCTTTAGGGCTTTAGGGCTTTCGGGTTTTAGGGTTTGGGGTTTGGGGTTTTCGGGTTAAGGGCTTTAGGGCTTCAGGGCTGTAGGGTTTTAGGGTTTTGGGGTTTGGGGTTTTCGGGTTAACTTTAGGGCTTTAGGGTTTTAGGGTGTGGGGTTTGGGGTGTTCGGGTTTAAGGGCTTCAGGGCTTCAGGGCTTTAGGGCTTTAGGGTTTTAGGGTTTGGGGTTTAGGGCTTCAGGGTTTTAGGGTTTTAAGGTTTTAGGGTTTAGGGTTTAGACCATAAGGGTTACAATAAGGGCTGCTACAAGGGCTACCATAACGGTTACCAGGGGACTTTTTGAGAGGAGGTTCAGGGTCTAGGGTAGAAGAGCGTTTTAAAGTCTAAAGGTTAGAGTTTTGGGGATCTAGAATTTACGGTTCAGTGTTTCGTTTAGGAAGTGTTCTGGATGAACAAACCCTAAAAGCCCTAAAAACCCTAAAAAAAACACTAAAAACCCTAAAACCCCTAAAAACCCTAAAAACCCTGAAAAACGCTAAAAAAACCCTATTAAACCCTAAAGGGCGTTGAGGGCCCTGAGCGAAGCGGCAACGCCAGCTCCCACTCACCGGCCCGGGCGCAGGCGCCCATGACCTCGGGGCTCCCATGCATCGAAGGTTCCACGGGGACGCTATAAATGGGGGGCTTTATAGGGTTCCTTTAAGGGTTCTATTGGGTTTAGGGGTTTAGGAGCTTAGGGATTTAGGGGTTTAGGGGCTAAATGGGGCTTTAATTCGGGTAATTATGGGGGTTTATAGGGTTCCTTTATTAAGGGTTCTTTAGGGGGTTTAGGGTTTAGGGTTTAGGGTTTAGGGTAGTTTTGGGATTGAAGTAGGGTTCCTTTAAGGGTTCGATGGGGTTTAGGGTTTTGAGGAGGTTCTATAAATGGGGCCTTTATAGGGTTCCTTTAAGGGTTCTATAGGGGTTTAGGGTTCTATAGGGGTTTAGGGGTTTCGGGGTTTGGGGGTTTAGGGTTTTGGGGTTTGGGGGTTTAGGGTTTAGGGCTTCCTTGGAGGTTCCTGGGAAGCTATAAATGGGGTTATAATTAAGGTAACTATACTCATAATAGGGTTATAGGGCTTTAGGGTTTGGGGTTTAGGGTTTGAGGGTTTTAGGGTTTAGGGCTTTAGGGTTGAGGGCTTTAGGGTTTAGGGTTTCAGGGTTTAGGGTTTAGGGAGAAAGGCCTCCAAAGAAAAGGTAAAGAGACCACCAAAACACACACACACACAGACACACACACACACACGCACCCCTGCACACAGATTAAAAAACAGAAAGAAAGACAGACAGACAGACAGACAGACAGACAGATCGATGGATAGGTAGATGGATGGATAGATAGATAGATAGATAGAGCTCATGGGTTCAATCAACATCGTCAACCGTAGGAATAACACTACTTTGACCTTGATGAAACGAAGATACTCTGGATGATTGTAAATAAAACGACAACACGCCTTTCATAAGCTGACCACCTCATGTTCCAAAAAAAACCAAAAAAACTCATTTCTCCTGCGCCAAAGGGGCCGCTTTGAGGGTGATTTCTTCGCCCTGCAGACCTCCCCCTTCCATACGACCCAGTAGCTGCACCGCGACCTGCCACTCCCCGGCCTGCTCTTCAGCAGGAGGGGACTGAAGGTTTCGGGCCTTTGGGTTTAGGGTTTATGGTTTAGGGTTTCGGATTTCGGGTTTGAGGTTTGGGAGTTCAGGTGTAAGCTGTTGGGTTTAGGGTTTATGGTTGAGGATTTAGGGCTTGAGGTTTGGCATTTGAGGTTTAATGTTTTTGGGGTTTAGGGTGAGTGTCAGCTGTTAGTGTCAGCTCGTGGTAAAGCCGCCGAAACCTTGGGGTTCTATGTTCAGGGGTCTCTGCTCAAGGGCTGCTAGTGCTGAACTTCTTTGAACGATCCTAAGCCTAAGCACCCGAGCCGACGAAGTCGTGTCCCCGGAAGCCCTTCTTTACCAAGCCGGTGATGAGCCTCAGAAGAAGAGCTAAGGCCCAGGTCGACCCCCCAAAACCCAGGTTTAGGGTTTAGGGTTTAGGGTTTAGGCCCAGGTCGAAGGTGCTTTTTGTACCGTGCAGGAGAACCCCGGATGGCTTGATGATGCTCTTCCTAAGGCATCTTCGGAGGGGCTGGGACGCATCAAAAAACATGCATAGCCATAGGCCACCGGAAATTTCAGGTTTCCTGAACCTCCCTCAAACTACAACTTCTGTTCCTATCAGAGCACTAGGCGACCGGATTACCTCAGGTTTTCTGAACCTGAGCCCGACCCAACAGCCAAGCTCTCCCTCAAACTGCATCTTCGGCTCCGAGTCAGAGCACTGGAAAATACCCGCAAGCATGTCAACCCCCACCCTGCAGAAAAATGGCAAGAGCAGGAAAGCGGATCAACAGGGTTTAGGGTTTAGGGATTAGGACACACAGACACACACACCCACGGGTAGCCTTCTCAAGAGCGCTGGCTGCCGCATTGTAGGTAATCACCTTGGCGAGTACAGGCCTCTAAGAGATCTGCAGCGCTCAATCCGCACCGTGCCCGTCCTACAGGACCCCCCATCTCTACTAGCAACCCATACTACACCCAAAACCCTGAAAAGTACCCTACCTTAGCTTTAAAGTGCCCTAGCTCTCTAACGGCTCGCACAAAACCCAATGTCCGGGGCTAGGCAGGCCGGTGGCATTCGGGGCCGTCGATGAGGTCTCTGCCTCCTCCACGAGTTGTCGGAGCTGCTGAGGCTTCAAGGTGTGGGGTCTAGGGGGGTTTGGGGTCTAGGGTTCATGCTTCGGGTGTAGAGCTTAGGATTTTATATAGTGTTCAGGGGAGGGACAGTGTTTTCAGCTTTTTGGAACTATAGGAGGCCTGGGGTTGCAGCTGAGAGTTTGCAGCTGGTTCGATGTTGAAGGCTTGGATTTAGGATTCAGGCTTTGGGGGGTCTCGGTCTGGCGAGGCCTCTTCTCCCTGGTTCTTAGTAGGGAATGGGGGAATGGGTTATTGGGACTACTATAGGGGAGCTTAAGGGACTATCATAGGGATCCATTCCCCCATTCCCTACTAAGAACCAGGGAGTCTTGACCGGATCTGTGGAGCTGTGGATTTTCAGGTCGGGCCTCAGGGTCTCCGCAACTTCCCTTTACGGAAGGTGGGCGTCGCAGTTCCAGAAATTCCCAACTGGCCTAAACCACAAATAAATAGGCCTCGTCTTTCCGTCTGTCTATATTTTTTTCAAGCCTAAGCAAGCACAAAGTAGCAAAGACCCTGAACCCAAACCATCACATCCAAAACACCCTATCAGTACCCTAGAGGCCCCGAGAAAAAAAAAGGCTTTCCTCCAAGATGCCGAGCGCCACCTCCCATGCGCCTGCACGGCCACAGGCGCTCACCAGAGTGCTGTAAGAGACGATGCTGGCCTTTCAGGAACTTCGCCAGCGCGCATTCGGTGGGAGGGCGCTTCCAGGGTGTGTGGATCTTTTTGTGTCTGTCTTTTTGTTCACCGATCTGACGATGTGTTGAAAGTGTTCAGGCTTTGGGATTTCTCAGTTTGAGGCTGTAGGGTCTTCAGGCCACTTGCTTGATTGTAGGCAAATGTGCCTTTCGGGATTCTCCTCGGAAGTTTTTTGTCGGCGGTGTTCAATCAGGGTGCTGTGAAAAGCTCTTGCCCTACCTGTCTAGTCGAGTCATAAACCTTCGGCTTCCGACGCCGTGACTTGTCATTGAACTATTGGACTAAGGTCAAGTTGGAACTTGGCACTTGGGGCGTATGGCCGAACTCCACTGCCGCGGCCTGACACGAGCCGCACCGCAGAGCTGCAAACAGCGAAACAGCAGCTTGCCACCGCTTGGCCCTGCCGCAGGCATCGATGGTCGCGTTGTAGGTCACCTTGGACTCAGCATATCTCAGCATCCTGGGCCTTATAGGTCTACTGGATATGATAGCGTTCCGTCAGAAGGTAGATTAGCTCGCTCGAGCCAAGGGAAGACCTGAATCGCAAGTGCAGGAAATGGCCCCATTGCGGGCTTTGTCGCTGTTGTGAGCTGGAGCCCGCGCTGCGACATGTCGCTGAAGACCAAGAGAGCCTGCTGCCAGCAAGATGCCTGTCCGCAACGGCCCACGGGTTTGGCACCTCTATACTATACTATATACTCTATAAAAAAACTATACTCTAAATTTTATTATAGTATACTATACTTTACTTTACTTGCTCAGGCTTCTGGCTTTGCACCCCGGGGGCCGGGGGTCTGGTCTGGTTGGTTGTGGCTTGAAACCCGTGTTTTGTTGCCGAGCGAGACTTGACGTTGGCACGCTGCGAAGAAGTCTTGAGGTCCTGCTAAGGTTGCTTAAACCGGGACATGGCAAGCTGCGCAAGCCCAAGCTCGTGGAGAGAACCCTGACGCCAGTCCTTGCCGCAGATGTGGACTGCAGAGCTGTACTGCGAGGCATCAGCCTGAGCTCAGCAAAAGTGGCTCAAGTTCGCAGGCCTTTTGGGTGTCTGCATACATTGCATACATATGGTAGGCTTCCCTTGTCAGCAGCCTTTACAAGGACAGTCCTACTCGCCGAAAAAAGCTGGATCCTTCAGGTCTCTGGAGCCGGCGAACCGCAAGGATCCGAAGCCCAAAACCTTGTGGATGCTGGTCTAATGCCAGACAAGTTGCTGGGCTGGAGGCATTGTGGCGAAGCACCCATACCGCATGCTGCCATGTGCACCTTCAGAAGTTACGAAGAACCGATTAGAGCCCCGGGGGAAGAAAAAAAAAGAAAATCTTTCTGTTTTTGATGTCGCATATGACAGCGACGACGACGCCGACGACGACGACTACTACTGCTAATTACTACTCGCTGAAACCTTTTTTGGCTACTCCTCTACTGCTGTGGTGAGCTTTATGACTGAGACTTCTACAAAAAACAGCCAATATCACGACCTCCGCTACCACGTTCTCAAGCCCTTTGATCAAATCCCCACATACCCAATGTAGCTACTGTCACATACATCCAAAACCCGCTGTCCCAGATGAGTCGCCTGCGCCGAGGCAAGTCGCGTTTCCCCGTATCCGCCGAGAGAGTCCGAGACATTTTTGGCTGCGGCGGGGGTGGAGGAAGGGCGGACTGTGGGCGTTCAAAGATGAGCCCCAAACCAGACCTTGCCAAAGGCGCCAACCCAAAGAGTCTCTAAGCCCATCAACGTGATGAACACCCGAAACGCTCTCTGGCCGTGATGCCCTGCATGTAGGAGCCTCGTAAACTCCCGGCGAAGACGACCCAAAACTCTCAACGCCCCATAAAGTCGGTTGGTCTCAGGTCGAGGTTGGACGTACTTCGAGGCTCAGGGCACACACAGTAAGGACACTGATACCTTCATCAGTTCAAACCTTTCGGGTTGAGAGCAGCTTGCTTGTGTACTTCCCAAAGGGCCCCCCTGTCCTTTTGTGGTAGATTCCAGACCTGTAGAATATGACGCCAAGGATTAACATGATAGTTGAACTAAGCTAGAAGGGTACAAGATTACCGTTGTTCAGACGAAGCTCTAAACCCTGAACCCTAAAACCCTAAACCCTAAACCCTTAAACCCTAAAACCCTAAGCCCTAAGCCCTAAAACCCTAAAACCCTAAACCCTAAAACCCAACAACCCTGAAACTCTGAACCCCAACACGCGATCGCAACAGACCGGAACCCGACGCCTTCCTCTGGGCTCCTTTGAAGCAGGCCGGGGGGCTTTGACAAAAAGCACCCAGGTCCGAAAGCCCAAACGCCCCGAAAGCCTTTAGGCTTTAGTAATGTTTAGGGTTTAGGCTTTAGTAATGTTTAGGGTTTAGGCTTTAGTAATGTTTAGGGTTTAGGGTTTAGGGGTTTAGGGTTTAGGACTTTAGGGGTTTAGGGGTTTAGGGGTTTAGCCTGCACCCTTGAGCCTGAACCTCGAACCGTTTGCCTTTGAAAGAGACTATACCCTAAGCCCCTAAGCCCCTAAACCCATAAACCCCATAAACCCCTAAACCCTAAATCCTAAACCCTAAACCCTATAAATCCTAACCCCTAAACCCTACAAAAATGCCTGTCAAACCCTCTACACCCGTCTCATGAAACCCCGAACGCCGAAACCCTGGAACCCCGAACTCCCATGCTCTGCTTCTCGCCGCGGAGGGCAGTCTCCAGGAGTCACTTTGGGCCACTGCGCACTTCTAGGGTGTAGGGTTTAGGGGTAACCCTAAACCCTAAGCCCTAAACTCTCAACCTACTCATCATCGCGGCGCAGTGCAGGCAGGACCGGTGCCCAAGCAATTCAGCCCGCTGACCTTTCGAGGATGCCACAGCTTTTTTTTCATGGGTGTAGAGGGGTTCCTTTAAAAGGCTTCCGTTAAAAGGGTTCCCATTATAGGGTTCCTTTTTCACGGTTCCCTTTTTATGGGTTGCTTTGAAAAGTTCCGGGAGGGTTCTGCTGAAGGCTTTTTCTTCAACCGGTCCTTTAAGTCTCTAAACCCTAAACCCTAAACCCTAAATCCCTAAAGCCCTAAACCCTAAACCCCTCAAGCCGTAAACCCCAAAGCCCTGAACCCTAAAGGCCTAAACCCTTAAGCAGTCCCTCCAGGATTCCTGTAACGGCTTCCTCGAGGGCTGCATTTAAGGGTCTCAGATGCCAGGGCCCCGGTCAAGGGCTAACCTATTTTGTGGGGGATTTTAGGGTTGCTGGGCTTTTCGGAGCTTAGGGTTTTAGGGATTTAGGACCTTAGGGATGCTGGGTTTCAGGATTTTAGGGTTTGTTGGGTTTTAGGATTTAGGGTTTAGGGCTTAGGCTGTAGGGTTTAGGCTCTAGGGTCTCGGGTGCGGGTTTCCTGAACCAAGCCTCTCCCTAAACCCCACAACCCGCTAGAGTAGCCCGTCTAGAAAGCCTGGGAGTTAGGGTTAAATGGACCCTTGGGGATATAGACCCTCTCAAAACGAGAGCCATAAGTAGGGTTAAGAAGGGTCCCCTTTAAGGGGTCTCCCTAGTACTACCTAGGAAAGCCCAAACACTCTCAGAGAACCCTCTGCCATCCCATGGAAGAACACGGGATTGGGTTTTCTGTTGGGGGAGGCCAGGGTTGTGGTCTTTAAGGGTTAGGCCAGGGCTTTGGGTGTAAGGGCCTAAAGTTGACCCTAAACCCTAAA